CTCCTCTGGCCCTCCCCACGCGCCTCCGGTGAACTAAGAACACGCTTATCTCCCTGAGCCTGGCCTTCATAAGTCCATTCCATCACAGCAGGTGACTCACTAGCTGAAGCACTGGAAAAGCTGTTCTGGCAGCAGCTGCCTGCAACTGAGAAGCAATGCCAGGTCCAGGCACAGAAGAATGAAGTGTGCCTGTTCAGAACAGAACAACGTCCAAACCTGATATTGATTTTCCTACTGAGCACCATAATTTCTTTCTTGCCTGGAAGAAATTGTTACTTGGTAGCCCCCATCCACTCTGTCATTCCACTTGGGAGTGGTTTAAGACTGCCACCATCTTCCCAGACTCACATGAAAAGGAAAATCTGAGCTGGGGGATAATCATATTGAAGGCACACAGCTCCAAATCCATTATCTTAATTAACACAAAGAATAAGATGAAGCATGCAGGAACTCCAAAGACCAGAAACCAAGAAATTGAACAGATGTCCCATAGCACTACCTTCTTGGACTTCCATCACCATTAGATTAAAGCTACCACAAAATATTAATATCCACTATCCTCTAACTAATGGAAAACCTTATATCTGGTAGAAACCCTGAAATTACCACTGATGTTGGTATGAAAACTTGTTGTGAAGACCAACAAAACCAACATGGGTAAATACTGTACATTCAGCTTTTGGAATTACTTATCCACTAGATCAGCCACAGGTGCCCCAGTTCCAAACTTACAGTAGAAATTCAGTTGAAAAAGGTTCAAAGTAGTCTAGATTTAGATTTCTGCTAACTTCTTTAGATTTCTTCCACTTGCTTGAGATAGACTGGTGATCATTTCGTGGGGCTATAGTCCAGAAAAGTTTATTTAACACTGGTCTTAAAAGTGTTTGTTTTCAAAGTAGCCATGGGGACTCTTAATTTGATTAGGGAAATGAGACGGATGATGCCATTTCTATGGTCTCAATTGGCCAGCTCTGGAAGCTGCTGCTAACCCCTCTGAGAAGTGGGAAAACTCCCTGCAACTTCAAGGAAGAGCTCCAAGAAACAGTACAGTGAGAAAGGACTAACTTCACCCCACCTCAAATAAAGTTTCTTCTAATAAATATGCAGCCATTTGTGCTGATCTGAACTGAAATTCAGAAATACCCTATGTTGAATCTCCTGAGCCTTTTCTTTTTTGGCAATTTCTATTCATACAAGAATTGAATGAGCGAGGAGAGAAGTGTCATCTAAGGAGGCCAGTTCCCCAGTTGAGAACA